TACTTTTACTGCTCATCATCTCTTTCCCATCACATATCTGTGAGCTTTCTACCTGTGGTAGCTTTAATATTTATTGCTAAGGCTGGAATTGCTGCTGATGTCATTAAATTTATTCACCAGAGATCTTATTCCCCTGTTAATACCAGTTTTTGTTGGCCCTCATCTAGAGTATGTAGCATTTAAGCCCCATTATAGAATTAAAAGATGAAACAAGGGGAGTCTTTGTGCTAAGGCCAGTTCCTGCACAGAGCTGGAGTGAGAGCTCAGCTGATGAGCCCTGATGGCAGGGTTTTCCCTGGATCTGAAAGCATCACAGGCAACAGGCTGCCAAGGGCAGTACCCTTGTTTCTCTTAGGAAGTGCAGCCAATAAAGGCAAATATTTTTTTTTTTCTTATTATTCATCTGAGAAGGAAAAAGGGCCCTGGATGGAACTGTATATAAATGAGAAAGAAAACAGAGAAATATTCAGAAAGCAGTGATATAGACAGTTATTAAATAGCCAGATTTATATAAGGTAAGGTTGGCAAAATAACCTTATAAAAAAAGTGCAAGAGAGAGCACTTGAGCAGGTTGCAAATCTTGTAAAAGCAGGTTTGGTTTAAGGATCTAATCTCTAGAAAGAAAAAAAAAAAGTCAAATATAAGGATGACTATACTGGATCCGAAAAGTATAGCTGTGTAACTAACTCAGTGTTTGGTTCACCATAAGGACCACCTAGACAAGAATATAATAATAGGACAAACATACAGTAGTAATTCCCAAGAAAAACATATCAGCTTTTATTAATTTGTAGGTCAGGAAGTCCAGGAGGTAGGAACTCATGAGGAATCATCTAATGAATTTTTTTTTTTCACCATGAATTTGTCCAAACAGTAGTTGAACCACATAAAGTGCTCAGATTATAAAACAAAAGGAATTTCTTCAGGAATGATGGCCCTTTTGGAAGCAAAGTGTTAGGAATACTACAGCATCAGGAGTGGATTCACATGTGGTGAAATCAGACAAGCTCCACTGAATGTCGCCTTTAACACTGTGTGCAGGAAAAAAATACCTCACTGCAAAACAACAGAGCTCGGGAGGATGACCTCTATTGTTTATTTCTTTCATCTCAGACATGGAGATACAGAAAATGAAGAATTAGAGGCTGCTATATAAACTAGAGCTGGACTTACTGCCATTTCATGTGTTGACCATTTTCCTGAAGCTGAGTACTTGAAATAGACGTGTATTTCTTACCTTTAGATGTTTTTCTAGTACTTTTGTCCATCCTTGCAATGTCAAATTAGCCATCTCACTTCATTCCTGGTTTTATAAGTTTTTGCTATTGTTTCTCTCTTTGGAAGGCTGTGCATTGGGGAAATGAATAAATTACAAGATAAAAGAAAGTGTCTTTATGCCCAGTATAACCTGGCTTTCTTTGTATAATTAAATGTTTCCATTTCCAGGATTCCAGAAGAAACTAATCCCAAAGACATCATGCCGTGCATTTCACAGAGAAGCTCTGGATTAAAGGTGGTTCTCCCTCATTAGGTAGGGGAAATGGTAGACTGAAAGAAAGGACTGAGGTCTTGTTTGAATGTGCATTACCCCAGCATGACCAAACACTGTTACAATCATCAATGAGGAGACAATCCAGACACAGTAATTAAAAAAAATATCTAAAAAGAAAGAAGGATGTTATGTAAAGAGATTAACGTGAAAGCAAAAAGCAGTGGTTTAAGACTACAAAAGTGTGGTTGGTAAATCTCCCCTGCTCACCTCAAAATGGTATGTATTTAAATGGTAGAAATTGCTAGTGCTTTGTGTAAAATGCTGTTTCTGCTGTATTTGGCAAAGGCAGATGAGAAGAGACAAGGACTCTTCCTGCAGTATTTCTGATGGCTCAGGAAACATCAAGCTTCATCACTTTTTTTAATGTCTTCAGATATAAATTGCTTCAAAACCTTATAAAAAATATTTAATATCTAGATAATAAAAAAAAGCTAGAGCATAACATTGGGGTTTTATTCAGATGAATAAAATAGCTACCCTGTGATCCTGTTTCAGTTTATACTAATCAAATCTAATCTCCACATACATCTATATGGACAGATAAATTTATATGACAATTGTATTTAAAAGCACTTCATAAAAGAAAGGATAATGAATGGTATAATTAAAATTATCTGAATGTGTATTTTATCTTAAAATTTTATTAGACAGCAGATGAAGTAGAATCAATAGTGTAGTGTGAATTAAAACCAATATTTTCCTACAGGTCCTGTGCACCTCTTGTGCACATTTCTATCACACATATATCGACTTTGCCCTCTCAGAATATCCCTCAATGTTTGATGGAGTAGGCTCAGGATACCTGAATGACTGGGTAAATCCTAGTAATAGCTTCTCTAGGATAGTAACCATGACATTTTTAAAACAAGAGTAAAGCTTATCCTCTACATGTGGGTGGGTGAAGGACCCATCAGAAATGTTAACACATTTGAGAGTTCATTTGCTGTTCTTTGTACTATCTGGACCAGCAAAACTGTATTTAAATACATTTTTACTTAAAAGAACAGTAGTACAAGCAAACAAAAATTCAAAGCTCTACCAAAACAAAATACTATGTGATTACCCATTTTTTCTTCTGTATGGAAGAGGAGGGAGCAGATGCTGTTTAATTGATATAATGCACTAGATGACCCCAGATACGTACTAGCTAGAACATGTAAAAACTGACACAGAAGGCAGTAGAATAAAGTGAAGAAGAAGGGAGAGGCAGCAGCACCCTTGCTAAATTTGCTCTTGTCCTTGATTTCCCAGATTCCAGGATAGTCACTGCTGTGGGCTTGTGGACAGGTAAAACGCACTTTACAACAGGATGTAAAGACAGTGCAGTTTGCCAAGCTGTACCACTAGATGGAGGCAGATACTGCATAGTCCACATGTAGTAAGCAGGGTGAGGTGTGCCAGAGGCAGCCTTTTTCCCCAAAGGAGAGGTCCTGTATGCGAGTGGCAGTGCAACAGGAGCACAGCAAGAGGTAAGATGCTACTGACAGCTCAACAGTGTACCTTTGCTCTCTCTGAGGACAAAAATCCTGGCTCCTACTTTATTTCACGTGCTGTGGAGATGCTAGATGAGTGCTGCTGCCTCTCAGAGATGCCTTCAAGACACAAGGGTGCCTCACTCCCACCTTGTGCTGGCCCTGCTGCAGGCCAGTCAGCTCAATGTGCTTGCCAGAAGCTCTCTCCCAGATATGTCCCATTGTCAGGACAGTCTTCCTAGGAATACATATCTGGAGTTTTATTCCATTCTTCTCAGTTCATACAGAAATTAATTGTACAATGGGAAAGAGATCTGCTAATTTCAGCCAAGTATTTGTTCTCATGCCTTCCTCATTTGTCAGTACAGTGCCTCCTCCAGCATGGTGCATTGATTGTCCCATGTGTCCTTAGGAACGGTTCTTTCTGCAGTGTTTCCTCTGATGATGTCTGCCTTCCATGTCTGTTTTCTCTTTAAGAAGCACTAGTGAGTGACTTGAGTTCAATGAAGAGTATGGTGTGTTTCACATCCCTTCCAGCTCCAAGGAGTCAAGAGGAGCAAACCCCAGAGGTCAGTTGGTACTCAGAAACATGACTGGGAATTAGGCCTACCTTGGGAAGTGTATTAACGTTTAGATGCTATCCTCAGAAATGTTTATGTTTGGTGGCTGAGAGAGCAAGATATGAGTCTTCCAAGTATAGGTATATTAAAATTGCCTCTCCTTCTTTCCACCTGGCCTTTGAATTGCAAAAGATGCCACCACTTTCTTGTGTCCCACATTGCCCATGACCAGACTTCCTTCTCTCAGGTGTCCTGCCCTAAACGTGGGGCTGAGCAAAACTTTTTCACAGTTGTATGTGGATTCAGAGCTCTTGCATCACCAGGCAGCAACTTTTGAACTGGAAAAGGCTTTTGCATAAAGGCTGGGAAATGCTGACTAGCTTTTGACTTTTGAGAGACTAGACCTTTGTGCACATTTGGAAAATGTGTTGAGGTAGAAGAAGACTTCTGTCCCCATCAGGGAGCATAAAAACCTCCTAATGGAGAAACCACTGGTCCCATAAGAGTTTATCCGGCTAAATACACAAAAAATCTCCAGTGTTTGTAATCAAATGCCTGTGTTCATAGTAATCTATTCTCATCACATCCTTCTCAACCTCTCCAAGGACTGAGCCCAGTGGAGGCTTTGAAGTTTTTCAGGTGATGCTTTGTTCAGGGAGCCAGAAAGTCATGGCCATTTTTTCCCGGGACTGAAAGTCATGGATGCATTTACCCATTTCATTTCAGCTCTTCCGTTATGGCAGGAAGACAGACATCTCACCCTGCAGGGGAGAGTAGCTCAGACCCTCAGGACAACTGGCCAGCTCCAGCAACCAGGAGGTCACCCTAGTGTTTCCAGGGTTATACCTGCCTGTGCTTGGTTTTGTTTTCTGGCAATGTGGGAGTAGTCTTTCAAAGGAAGGAAGAATTCCTGCTTTGTTTTGGGTTTGGTTTGGGTTTTGGTTTTTTTTGTTTGTTTTTTTTGTTTGTTTGTTTTTAATTTCAAAATACCTGAGAGATGTTTGAATAACACAGTGGACAATGGGAATTCTACACCACTGCTTCCCAATCTGCTTCTCTGGCAAGCAAAGGAGGACATAATGTTGGAAAGCTGCTCCCTTTGGGAAAGCATCCCACCCCATGCTGAAGGAAGCACTGTGGAGACCTTCTCCTCTAGGTGTGAGGTACATGAGAAGCATGCTGTGATTCTGAGGAGGCAGATGTAGATACTGGGAAGGGCCAGGACATGTATAGGAACAGAAATAAATCCATGAACAGGATTTGCAACTCCAGCAGTAAATGCGCACAGGCTCTTTAGGTGACTAGACCTCTATTCAGAAAGATAATTGTCTGTCTATCACAGATGCAGGAGTTATTTAATTCCCCAGTGAAATGCCAGAAGAAAAGCCAAACATTAGACAACAGAGTATACAAGTTTGGAGTTTTTTTAATTGTCAAGTGAAATTAATAAAGTGCAAATAAATCAGTGTAAAAATTCTGGGAATATGCAGTCCAGGAGTTTACCACTTTAATTAGCTACAGAATAAAGTTGTTTTGGAACATCAGAACAATCAGATGTTCAGAATTCTTTGGTCTTTTTGAAGCACTTTCTTTAAGAGTTTGATGATTTTCTCCCTGTAGGAAAGAAGGACAAAACATAGACTGTTATGTGTACTGGAGATGGTCAATGCAGACAATTTTATTCTTATTGTTTCTCTAGAATGCCCTGAGGAAGGTGATGTCTAAAGAAAAGCAAACCTAGCAAAGTTTACCCTGTGGAGCCAATTCTGATTGTGCTCCACTCTTACTGCTGAGTAGTTTCTGCCTTCACTGAACTGTTCCATTGGTAGGTGGCACAGTCTCTCATTTCCCTGCCAGTAGCCCCACTCACTGAAACAGGTCATTTGCAGAACAAGGTTCTCACGATTTGTTCGGCAGTATGTAGGTGTGCAGGAAGATGGTGCACCAGGCCATTGCTGCTGCTCTGTCACCTCTTGGTTGAAGTGGGCACATGCTACAGAAGGACTATAGTGGATGGAATATACTGTGCTTTTCCCAAGTTTGTTCCCCTTCTTTCTTTTTGGTAATATGTAAAGGCCCTTGCAATCAGGGAGAGTAGTGAAACCTGCACCCCAGTATGTTTTATCTTGAAAATCAAATCTCATCATGAATTTACCATATAACTTCCAAATTCCTCGCTTATCATCTGCTGACAGTCTGAAGGTTGCTGGGTTCACATATGAGTAGACAGGGTACATCAGAGCTTCAGGGACATTTGAATGACCAAGTCCCAAAGAATGGCCAAATTCATGAGCAGCAACAAGGAACAAATTAACTTCTGCAGCACATAAACATAGAAAAGTATGTTAAAGGTATGGCATTTCTTTTTAGCATACAAATAATTGAAGTAGCAGAAGAATGTATCACTTTCATTCCCCTGAAATGAAACCTCAGAGTTTTGATCAGTTACTACTGAGCTTTCTTTTGGAACTATAATATTTTAATAAAAACATTACTGATCCCTTGCATATGCATCTAAAGACCCTGAGTCTCTTTCCAACTCTGCTTTTAGTCAACCTTATTCCTATAAGCAAGTCATTGTACCTCTTTGTAATTTATGTAGAAAACAGATGGTCATAGTCCTTGTTCAGCCTGTGAAAAATGCTTTAAAATATGGATAGAATGGGAATTATGTAGCTGTTAATGATGATGAAGCACAAGTACTTAGAAAAGTAGTTGAAAAGAACAGAAATGTTGGTACTGAAATGGCATTGAAGCATGAGGAGTTATGGAAAGCATTTCCTACGGCTGTCTTCTAAAATGTACAATATTTGCCTTTCCTCTTCATACAAACATGTGGGTTTTACCTCTATTGAACTCTGACCACCTTTCATCATCATCAAAATGAGCATCTCCACCAAGTCCTTCTCCAGGTGCAAATGCATGAGCTAGTGTGTTGCCTCTTCCATCAAAAGGGTATCCATCACCATGCTCTGCATTTGAAAAGAAATAAATGTCATCAGATGGCATTGGCTGTAATGTTTAAATTCATCAGATTAAAGCATGTTGCTTGTTTCTGATAGTATTGTTCATTACCAATCCTTAAAAAAATATCCTACAATAGCAGCAAGGCTTAGGAAACACTCTCCAAATTCATGACTTAAATTCAAAACTTGTATTTGATAATTCAGGCTGCTGCATGTTTCAGAAAAAGCTGAACATCTTTTATAAGCCTTTGTCAGGATTGTGGTTCTGAGGCAGCAATCAGGGATTATTTCAGAATGAATACTTAATGCTTGACAACATTATAAGCACTTGAATGTTTTCAGTGTTGGAAAATGCCAGGCAACATTAGTTGTAGACATCTTCATCTGTACCAATTTTAGTGGAAGACAATGGTTTGGGATATATAACCATGTTCCTGAAGAGTTAAGTTCATTTGCTCCCAGCCTTGAGGTACCTACTTCTGCCACAGTGCAAGTGGAATGCTACTGTTTCCCAGCTTGAGTGCAAGAGTTGACAGGATGGTATATTTGTACCAACTCTGAAAATTCCCCCCTACCCCTTAGTGAACCTCCGGCTTGACAGAGGAGTATTTGGGGACTCAAACGACATTCTGTGAGCTTTCCCCCAGACCATGTGGATGGACCTTGGGGCAGGGCTAACACAGGCAGAAGAGACGTATAGTCCTGGTGTGTGACAAAGGATTAAAAACCATTCCAGCTTTCAAGATCCTTTCTCACTTTGACTAGCACATTAGTCAACTCTTCATGGCAATATAATATGCTTCCCATCAGTGAAGCCTGAGCTTGGGATATTTTGGTGTTTATATGCTATCTTCTACTTGTAAGCCAGATGTCTAATCTTTATGTATATTCAATGGAGATCTCGTAAATATTGTCAATGGATCTAGAAAACAAGTCAGTTAAGCTTAAATTAGGCATTTAGTTTGGCTAGGTTGAGTTAGTTTAGGTGCTAGGCACAAGTTAAAGGTATGGCTACATTCATGTATTAGTCTGGATCACAAGTGAGCTTCTGAAGTGACTCTACTGGTCATCTACGTTTACCACTGCACCTTGGTGCAATCTTGGAGTGCACCAATAGGATTCTTTCTAGAAGAAAATCGTCCAGAAGATACTCTCCATGGCTAAACCTTATGCACCCTAGCTGCCAAAGACTGTTTAGCCCAGGGAACCAGACTAGATCTAGACCAAAGTAAACCTGCCTGAAGATGCTGGAATCCAGCCTGTGGAGGCTGGATCTCCAGAACCAGCTGCTTTGCTCTACAGATCTGTTCCCGTTAGTTTGCACTATTTGTCAAGGCAGACAGAGCCTTGAAGATCTAAATTTAGGTGTTTCATTCTGGAGCTGAATTATCCCTCCATTTCACAGCTGCAACTGTGAAAGGATTTTCTAATGGTTTCATAGGAGTAAAACTGAATCATAACATATACATTTGGTGGTATAATAAAGAAAAGATAAAATCTATGCAGACTTCAGAATAATTCCAAACTATTTGTTCTTTCTTAAAGCTGTGGTTATAAAAATACATGCTTTGAGTCAAATATGGACCATTGTATTTTAAAAACGACAGGTATTCTCACCACGACGTGCAAATGCAATCACAATGTCTGCAGGTCTATTGAATACTCTTTGGAACTGCAGTGGAGTCACATCACTCCATACCATAAAAGCCCTTCTAATTGCATCATCCACTTTCTTTTGGGGTAGATCAGGTGTGTAATTGACAATCCTAGCAGCAAAAGGAAACAGATTAATGTGATTTAGAGTGTGAAGGAAACCCACATTGTTAAATGCAAAGCAACCCCTTTCCCCATAAAACCCGAGTCATCACTAACTTGTAAGTCAAATGTGTCTTTCTCCATCTTGGATTTCCAGGAAATGTGTTGTACTCTGCTATATCAGGGACTCCGCATCTGGGCTGTTTCATCATTTCTTCTGTTTCTGCATTTAATTTCCCAGTTACAGTCAGGTGGAAAAACTTCTGCATTTCTTTAATCCTCTCTTCTAAGGTTAGGCTTTTTTGTTTTGTAGAAACTGGATAGAATTTATCAAGATATGCCTGGAAGAAGAAAAGGAAAATAAAAATTAATACATATATCTGTGATATTTTGGTAATTGCATTTTACATTTAACTGAATTGTTTCATCATCCTGTAGTCATGGATAGTTTTAGATGTATTTTTAATTCCTATTTCAGTTTACCAAATGTGGGGTTTTTTGGTAATATAGATCAGCATATATAAAAAGTATTGCAATAGCTGTGAAACACTGTAGGCAAGCAATCCTTTTAAGTAAACACGATCTACTGAGCATTCAAATCTGCAGCCTTCCTACGTAGTCTACATAATATTTTTGAGATGTTTTAAAAATGACATGCTCCCATTTATTTACCAGTTGGAACTTGGTCTCTTTTGTAAATTAGACTTAGAGTGTCTAAGCTGATCAGCAAGTTTAAATTGTTTTATATCACCTCTGCAAAAACTGTTGTGGTATTGTAAGATAAGATCATATAAACAGATAGGAAAGGAATGTAGAAGCTGAATCAAAGATCATGTTATTCATAATACAGTTACATTGTCCCCCTGGTAACATACCTTTACTTTCTCTAAGTCTGTGTTGCTCCATGATTCTGGTTTAAATTGTACTGGTAAAGCAAGACTCTCAGGTAGGAGGAGGATGGCAGCACAAAGTAGGAGGTATTGCATAGTGCCCAGCTTGACAAGGAGCCTTGCTACGCCAGAAAGGGTTTGAGCTTCTGTCTCCCAAGACCACAGCTGAAATGCTTATATAGATCCTGATAGCTCCAAGAGGCAATTACATATGTGAATCATTTTTTTGGTGGTGTTAATGTAGTGTCGTCACTATTCTAAGAAGTAAATGAAAGCATGTTAAACAAATCTTCCCTTTGACTTCCCTGTTGATGTCATGTCACGGCTAGTAGCCAGCTTTGGCTCTCTCTTTTCACATTATTCCAGTAGTGAAACCACAGGGTCATAGGGAAGTTCACTTTCTGTAACTTCATCAGTCCAGTTACTGTATAATCACTTCTTACTGCGCTTCCCCCAGTTCCTTATACACAAAAGTGTTTTGCAACTCAACCACCTTTTGGTGGATGCAGAGGCACAGATGAGATGGATGGGAGTGCTGTGTCAATGAAACTACTGGCATTTCCTAGGAAGCATGGACAACACTGTCTAGGTAATTTTTCTGATTCAAATTATCTTGTGAGGTAGGCTATGCTGCAGGAAATCCAGTTCAGTGAAGTTAAAGAGGTGTCTGCTATTTCTACAGAGATCAGAAGAGAGCTCTTTAAATATGACCTCTAGAAATAGGAGGCTGTGGATTCTTCGTCCTTTTCCTCCCAAATGAGATGGCCTTTCAGGAGAGTCTCTTTACATTGGAGAACTAGATATAAAATATAATTTTCAAGAATGGGTGAAAGTCCTTAGGAAAAAAGTGGAGAGCTTACCCTAAGAAATGTGGAGCTATCTTCCACCTCCAGCTGTACCAGTGCAATCTAACGGAGATCCATGAAGCACTGGCAGAGAAAACCAAAGCTGAGCAGGGCAGCCACAACCTTCCTGGTGCCTTGATACCAGCACTGGTCTCAGATTCACTCCACAACTTTCAGTGATAGTTTTTTGAGGACTGGAAACACCAGTCCACAGGCTGGCTTGTGATTTTTTTCAGGCTGTGCAGTTTTGTGACCATATTACCTCTAATCTGCAGGGAAAGGCGCACAAATGGGAAAAGACAATTGCTGTCTCTCACAACAGGACATCTTATATGGGTATAGCTGAACATGTATGGAAGGGTCTGTGGGTTACTAGCTTAAGTCCAATGTACTTCTGACTGACATGACAAGAAAGACTTTGATTTCAGAGAAAGATGATCTCTACTGAAACACTGCTGAGTTATGTAGTAGAGGACTACATTACACCTGATGTCTGCAACAGTTGCTGAAGGAACAATGCTTCCACCTGACACTGAAAACAGCCCAGATAACTTCAATGTGATCATTTCTGTACAATTTGGTAGGCTTACAGGAACTCTCTCAATGTCAAAACTTTAAAGCTTGATGAAAAAAAGCTGGTTTATTGTTAGGAGCAGGTTCATCTTTTTCTTCCTCAACAACTGACTTTATGTCTGACTGTGGCAGTGAAGTAGGATCTGGACCAGGGTCTGGGTGGCAGGAGATGAGGATGTGTTTAAAGCACTTTGAACTCCATGACTCTGCTCTGTGGTACTGATTATTTCCTTATATGCACAAGAGGAATTTGAGAGCCTCCCAGAGCCCCATTCCAGTTGACAGACTATTGAGCAACTCACATATATCTTTAACTAGGCCATGGGCAAAACTGGAAAGATGAGTTTAAACACAAGAGCTTGTTGAGAAAGGACAGGTGTCATGTTCCATTTTATTTTCTGCTGGAAATTTGTTAAATCCCCTCCTTTTATTTATTTATTTTGTTTTTCAAAAAGAGGGTTTCGATGAACACTAGGCTTGAAGTAAAAAACTTTCTGTGAAAATAATTTTCATTTTTCTGGGCTTAAAATCAGCAGGAATCCATCTAGTTCTATTAAGATCAATATCAAAAGGAAACAGATGCTGATTTCTAGATTTAGTTGTGTGAATTTTACAGACTTCTTTCTCTTTGTCTTGATCTTAAATGACAAAAACTGATGTCAAGAAAAATAATTTCCTGCCCAAACATCATAGCCATACCATTTACATGCAGCAGAGGACCTGTGCCTATGCCAGAGAGTGTGGCCTGTGTAGAGAAAATTGAAGGAGATCAGAAGAAATGCTGTTAGAGACATGTAATAATAGAAGTTGCTGATAATAAAAGTGTTCCATAATGGAAAATTCTATTAAGAAACCTCACAATATTGCCACTGAAATGTCTATACTGTGGCATTCGCTGAGGTAAGTAACCCTGCTGTGAACAAGGGTGCTTCATGAAACTGTCCTACATTGCTCATTGATGGGCATCAGAGTTTTTGAGGTTTGGAGAAAAATACATATATAGAAACTAAGACCTGAGCTTCCTTTGGACAACAGTGGGATGAAAAAGTGAAGTAGTACTGCATGAGTCAGTGGTAAATGATCACTGTTCCTTGGTCATTTGACTTGGACAAGAGGCTCAGCATGATTCTGCCCAACAAAACGCAGCCAACAGGGGAGTCAATGCAAGAGCTCAAATGTCTTTGTGAATGTTATATGTATAGCTGGGATGGAGTTAACTTTCTTCGTAGCACCCTGTATGGTGCTGTGTTTGGATTTGTGGCTTGGGTTTTACCCAGTGTTTTGGGTATTGGTGAACAGTGTTTGCACAGCATCAAGGCTTTCTCTGTTTCACACTCTTGCCCCCACAGTGTATGGAAGAGGCTGAGTGGAAAAGAGGTTTGGAGGCAACACAGCTGGGATAGCTGACCCAAATTCTCCAAAGGGATATTCCATATGAGATAATGTCATGATTAGCAACAAAACTGGGCCAGCAGAAGAAGGTGGAGTGAGGGTTATCTTCCAAGGTAGTCATTGCCTGGAGACTGGCTGGACATCCATCTGCTTGCAGGAGGTGGTGAGCCTCTGGATCACTTCCCCCCCTTTCTTTCACTTACTAAACTGTCTGTATCGCAATCTATGAGTTTTCCATCTCTTGCTATTCTTAATCTCTCACGCATCCCACTGTGCACAGGGAGGGAGTGAGCAGCTATGATGTGGGTGATTGTGTCTACCTACTACAGTGAATATCAAGCAAATAGAATGGCCAAAAGTTCCTGGGAAATATTTTTTTGGGTCACTTGTGAATTATGCAGTATTGTATTTATGGTCCTACCAAATTGAGTAGACCTGGATTCTTAAGGTCACCAGGACACAGGATTTGATTTGTTCTGTTACCTGGTTATTCAATTTGACTAACAAAAAGTAAAATTCAAACATGGCAAATATTTCTGCAGAGTAAAATTATTTGCATTGCAATTTCTTGAGGCTAAGACCAGTGAGTCACAGCCTGCTCCAGAACTTTTCCTGGTATTTTTCCACAAAATGCCTCCTCCTTGTCTCAGCTTCATGTGGCACACTCTATTTGGATGCAAAATGTCTTCTGAGCAACACAAATTTGAAGTCCCCTTATGGTTGTTATGGGCTGTTTTTCTTGGCTGGGGGGGGGGCTAGACTGTGGAGGGAGGCACATCTCCATGGCTTCTGCACTCCATTTCCATAGATTTTACCCCTGAGGAGGCTCTCTTCAAAGGAATCCCTTGACACCTTGGCACATCCTGGGCTATGTATCCCTTTTGCAGGCTATGTAAGGGTAAAAACCTTCAGATATCCAGCCTGGGCACTGAGGTCCTGTCAGGGCCCCTTGGCACTGCATCAGCCCATACCTGGAGAGAGACAATCCAGTCCTTCCCTCCTGTTTGCCTGGATCAAGGTGTATTGAGCTATTGCTTGGTGAGATCATTTCACTGCTTCAGGGAAAGAAAGACCCAAGGAAGTGATTAGGTGTTCAGGTTCAACACAGTGTGACAAGAACGAACACATCTAAGTTACTAATACTTAAGCAATCAGACTTAACATATCTCAACTTATGGGTTTACTTATCTTCTTACAGTACTTATAATTGCTTTGCATTTAATTACGTTGTACTTAGAACAGTTTAATTGTGTGGGAGAAAAATGTAAATAGAAATAAGTTTTTATAATAATAATCTTGAACATTAAACCACAAGGGAAATGTCATTCCTGTAAATGTTACCTACCTGTGTTAGTTCTGACATCCTCCATTTTTAAATTCATCTGCTCCTTTGGTCAATGATCAGGAGTCTCTCTTTCCTCCAGCTAACAGACACATGCAAACTTCTCAAAATTTTCCATATAATAATTTGCCTTATTCAATTTAAATTGAAGTTGTAAGATATAACCTTTAGGTGCACACATTCTTTCCTTCCTCCAGCAGCACATGTACAGGACGTGGAAGGGAAGAGGGCAGGATGGCAGTCAGCTGCAGTGTGAATCCGAACTTTGCTGGGTAGGAGCAGTGATCTAATCTCCTACAGTCACCTTTCATTTGTGAATTCCCTTTTTATAGCTGGCTGACCCCATCCATTGGTAAGTCTGGCTCAACACTGTCTTTAAAGGACTGAGTCAAGATGGAATCTAAAGTTCTGTGTACATCTTGTCTTGACAAAACAATATCCCTTCATGTAAGAAACCTTTAACTTATTATTTGGACTAAGGCAACCTCAGACTGCCTATAATCCTGCAGCAAATCTCTGTGATAAGCAGCAGAGTCCCACCTAAACCAGACTGATCATGTGATGGCATTGCAAGGGCAGGCAGAGTCACTGTGACCTCACGGGTACCATGCTGTGCTCCACTTGTCCATGCTCAATGTAACCCAAACTAAGAAACAGTCAATGTCTGAAGCTTCTCCTGACTCATCCTGAGGATCTGCACATGTCCATACTTTCTGGGACAGCATGGTGAGTTTGGTCTTCAGTGATGATGGAGTCCAGGGTTTGAAAGGCAGGGTTAAATGCAGCAAGACTACCTTGTGCCTTTACTTCTGCTGAGCCTCGTGAACTTGTATAGGTCTTTGGGAGTATAAATAATGTAAACCAAAATTTCGCATTTAGCCTGATTTGCAAAATGCTATTTCTATCAAAAAAACCCAACAAACAGCCCTGAAACACCAGAGAGTAGAGAGACTTCATTGTAATCTG